GATAGATATATTCACGACAGTACTCATTCTCTTGATATTCACTATTATAGGAATCTACCCTCCCTACTTTTCTTAAGACTAAGCTAAAAATGCAAATGGCGGAGTTTGGCCAACAGATTTCTCCAAAATCAGACTCAGACCAGGAGGTGTCAATTACATCTACAACATTTTGACTGGTTACCACTATAAGCCTTATTAAGGATTGGATGTTCCTAAAGGTAAGGCATACAATCCCTATTTTGATCACATGATAATTGGTATGGTTAGATAATTGCACGATGGTATGAATAAAAATTGGATTTGAATAGGTCTTGTTGATTACGAAGATGGAACTCCAGCATCAACTCCTTAGATGGCATTTGATGTCACAAACTTTATTTAATTTGTGCAAAGAAGAAGTGGTTTCCAAAGACCAGATAAGACTGTAAGATACTATATGTTCTTGACTGGAATTGCTTTGATCTATCCTTTTGCTTACTTGAAGACTAGGGGATTCTACAGAAACAATCTCTCTCTTAGGTATTATATTCGACGTATGAAATTTCAGATGGGAAATGTATGCAGTCAGAGACGGTGTGTATTACAATCACTTTAAAAAAGGATGGAAGAACTCTAGAGCTATTCAATTTAGAGGTCAAGTCTGGGCTTGAAAGTTCTATAAAATATTAAAAACAATAAATATAATTTATTTATATATATTTCTGTATTTATAGAAAATTCAAATAAAATTTAATACATAAACATAAATTCAAATATGCAATCTCTATTTGTAAAGTGTTAGAAATGTCAGCAACGACCAGCCACTATCAAATGTTCTTAATGTCGTTACGGCCAAACTTACAGACTATGTTATTCCTGTGATTCGTAAATTCACAATCGCACAGGTCCAATCGACTAATAACACAAAACAGAAATCATACCCTATCAAGGTACACCTAATTCCCTAAGATAGAAATGTATCAAAAGAATCAGAATTTTGCACCAGCTCCCTCTAAACTCGAACAATCAAATTAAATTAAAAAGAATGAATTTAAAGCCCAACCGCCAACAAAGGATTATTTGTCAAGCGAAACAAGAAAACCTGATTATTCTAAAACTATTGATGTTAATAGGAAACCTGAATATCCAGATAAGAAACACGATTATTTGGATAAAAAAGTTGATAGTCATGACAAAAGATATGATTAGCAATACTCAGGTTTTGATAAAAAATAGTATACATCCAATCAAAAGCCTTAAGAACAGGATAGAGCCAGCTAATCGATTATGAATTAATTGAAAGATGAATAATAATAAACAGAAAGATTGAAGGCTGAGTTGAATATGGCTAAAGACAGAGAAAAGGACTTCTAAAAGAGATTGTAACCCTATTAATTTGATGTGTATTAGGTCTAAGTTGGAACAAGATTACGAATCAAAACATAGAGAAGATAAATAAAAACTCCAATAATTATAGGATGAAAATAAAAATTTAAATCAGAAGCTCAACCAAGCCAATAGACATTTGCAGGAGGAAATCAATAAGGTTAGACAATAATATGAATCCTAACTTAACGAACTTGAGTAAGCTTACAATGAAAAAGAATAATAGTTAGAATAAATAGCATAAGAATTTAATTTAGTATTTGATTATATAAATAATACATTAGGAGGAAATACAAAAAAAAATTGAAGAATTATAATAAGAGTCTGATATGAAAGACTAAATTATTGAATAATATCAATAGTAACTACAAGATATGTAAGAAGCAATTCAATAAATTCAAGAGGGAATAAGCAAAACAATAGTAGGAACACTAGAAATCAATTCTCATCAAATAAGAAATTATCAAAGAGTCAAGATAATGATAAGGATCAATTGATTTAGAATTTACAACAATAACTTGAAGCAAAAGATGAGGATTGCAGAAAATTAGAAGGTAATTTAGATAAAATAACCTAATTTAGATTTGATAGAAAATTTCAAGCCCTTGTATTAAAATTTAAGTGATGAAAAACAACAGTTATAAGAAGAAGTGGAAAAACTTGCAAATGAAAATAACCAATTCAGAGAAATCTTTAGTGTAAAATATTTCAAAAATTTAGTAAAACTTGCATCTTTTCGGAATTGACCCTGAATAATTGAATGAAGAAGGCGAAGAAGGAGAAGGTGAATATCCTGAAGAAATTGCAGAGGAGAATGATGATCAAAATGATTGAACAATTTTACCTATATCATAATAAATATGATTTACATATTAACTGATAAAATTTATAATCGTTAGATGATTGATAATTATAATGAAATCATAGATTTTATTAAGGATGGAGTGGTTATTCCTTCAAAGAAGGTGTCACTTTATCTTTAGTGCAAAAGCAATTTATTTATTACTATAGATTTTCTGAAAATTAATTTTTATTAATTTATTCACTTATAATTAATATATAATGGAAATTGATGTGGGCTTCGTTTCAAAGTTAGCCACCATGCTTGATTTTATATTAATTCTCATTTTTTGTATTTGGTCCATTATTCATGGGTTCAAATCGGATATTTTTAATTTAAACTCAATTATGACCAATATAAATTTGATGTATTATATACAAGATAATTAGGATTGTGAATGCCTTACTATTGTTAGGTGAAACAAAAAGAGTAGTAATTGTTGAAAAGTTTTATTTTGCATGTAATTAATTTGGAAGAGGCCTATTTTGCTTATTGTATGGAATATTAATTTTTTAGTATAGCGTTATGGTTATTTGCAGAAAATAGTAAAACTGCTAAACATACAAATATGCATGACTTTGGATTGTCAGTTGCAATCTGCACTGCTGTAATTGGAGTTTTGTATGTCATATAGCATTTTTTAGTATTTGTAGAATCTAATCATTTTAGTTTGATAAAAGATAATTCATAATAACAAATTGATTAATGGTTTAAGAAATATGATATTATCATTTAATTTACTGAGATTATATCTATCTTGAATAAATCTAAGAATAACTTAAACCAAATTCAGAAGTTTTCCATTACAAGATTTGATATTTGAGAGTCTTGAAATTAATTAATTCCTATTCGTATCAATACAGCTAAAAAGGGTTTATTAAATTCCAAGTCATTTTTTTAGCCTCTCTTTAGACAAAGAGTTATCAGTTATTTGATTCTGAATTCCTGCCGAACAAGTTATTCTTTATGTAAAATAGCATGATTCAGTTAATCTTATTGAAATTCTTTAAAATTTCCTTAAAATTATTGCATCTTAGCTCTTCTTTGTTGTTAACTAAATACTATGAGCTTTTGATTTGAGAACAGTAGTTTTATTGATTAATCCTATCGACCTAATTCCTATTTCAACTTTTCATGATTAGCTTCCTTTCTTGTCTTTTAATAATTCGAACAGTTGTTATTAGAAATAATTTAAATTTTATCTTACATTTGCAATGATTATTCATGCTTTCATCATTGTTGTATTCATTCATTTTATGGATATCGATGATTTACGTTAACCATCTAAATTTTTTAAGCTAAAGCAAAGCTCTTTGATAATATTATTTTTTGTCATATAAGCTGGTATTAAAATTGCCTTCTTATATATTCTTTCTTGATTCTTATTATCAACTATGGTTAAGTAGAGACTTTTTATAATTTTGACTTTGCTGCATAATTAATTATAGAAATCTAGATTTTTTTTTCTATCCCTAGTCTAATTCTACAGGCATTTTAGAACTCCTTATTGTATAGCCAAGTGTTAAGGGATATCTTCAACCTCTCATGTTGCTTTTGGATGATTATTTTGCCTTATTCATATCTTTAGATTAATATATTAATTAAATAAAATGTCTAGAGCAATTCGTAGATATGTGAATGCCAAAGAGGAGATGGAATACGAGCGAGGATATTCAGCTGAAGAGATGCAAGCAGCTAAATTGAGAAAGGCATTTGTTTAGAAATTTATTGCTGACTTTGACACTAATTTTTACAAAACATAAGAGGAAAGAGATTGGGGATATGTTGTTAGAAGAGAGTATGATTTTGTACTTATAATCTTAGATATCGTTATGATGTGACTTATTCCTCTCTTGTTGATGGTTGGGCATGTGCAGCTGCTGTTTCTATGGTCAGAATGTTTTAGACAAAGAGATTTTCATGGGCTCCTTATTTTGTTGTTTGGCCAATTGCTTATCTCTACTTTCAACCAATTAAATTTTTGAAACACAATAAAAAATACTTTGATATGTGCAATTTGGGTGAAACATTTTATCTTGGAAGAGAAAGAAACAAGGTTCTGGCTGAATGTAACAGAATATTAGATAGAGAGGATTTCTGATCCTTATAACAACATAATAATAATAATAAAATAAAATATTTATGATTTCATTTATCAAGCTCTGATCATTTTTACCTTTTCCTCAGATTAAAGTTTGAATCAAAATTATAAACAATTTAATTTATCTATAATATAGAAATACTATCCAATGATTATTATGTCTCTTATTATGCTCGCTCTATTAGATCATGGTTGACAATATACAGAAAAATAGTTAATTCAAACTTATATTTTATGCATTAGTTTGTAATCAGTAATCATACAAAAATATCATTGATGTATTTCTACATTGAAAGTCATACAAATTCTATCAATATTAACTACAATATTCCATAAGATTTAATAATTATCTATATATCAAAGTATATATATGGCTTGGATCTTAGCATAAAAATAATTTAATTTGAAAATATGTCTAAATAACTACAATTGAAATTTGGAAAATGAACAGTGGCAATATTTACATCCAAACATCAACAGGAACCTCATTAAAGAATAATGCAAGAATTTTAACTACTCTTTGTTAAGTTATTGCAATGAATATTTCAAGACTTTCATCTAACATTAAAATATGATATTTCAATAGTTATCACTAAAGGAAAAAGAACCGCGTATTTTTGGATATGAGAGGCAAAAAATAATTAGAGGGGGATAAATCAGAAAGTGAAAACTATGTGCCTATTTGAAATTAATGTTTTTCCTCTATTTCTTCATTAATAATTAATTTAAAAGTTTAATGTCTTTGGTGAACATAACCAATATAGTCATAGATGATAAACCCTAGCCCTTCCAGAGCCCTATAATAATCGACATTTACTTTGATGTCTTGGTAGACATTGAAGATGAAATCGAATGGATGTACATCATTATTTTAATTGTAGGCTACTCTTTATAGGTTCACCTAAAGATGAGTCACATGATTAAATACTTGATTAGTTCTCAATGGGCCCTCTTTAAGGGGGAGCAAAACATTTTACTTTAGAATGTAATCCTCCTGATTGGTAAAAAATTCCCCAAAACGAATTACTGGGTATCACAGCCTTCATTCTCACTTGTTCCTACAGAGAAAAGGAATTCTTTAGAGCAGGTTACTATGTTTACACTACTTACACCTCTCAAGAGAATATAGAGAACGATCCCCCCGAAATTATTATAGAAGATATTTCACGCTAAATCTTCAATAATAAACCCCGTATAACTCGATTTGAAATCGATTGGAAAGGGACCAATTAAAATTAAAGTACTCCAGAACATATTGACAATAAAGAATTTATGTTTTAAGAACAACAAGAAAAACAGTCAGCGGATGTGACTGAAGTCGATGATCCATAGCTTATCTAGAATGTGTTCGACTCTTGAAAAATATATATATATAACTAATTAAGTTAAAATTTTAATAATTAATTAAATACAATATATTAATGTAGTAATAAATAAATATGATAGATAATAAATCTCTTTAAGATATTCACCAAATTCAATCTTAAAATTGTACTCATCTACTTATTAACCATTACCCATGATTTTCTGTTATGATGTTAATTTATTATAATGTTTACACATAAATTTATATTGCCAAAAACGACCGATTGAAGGTTTGTCATTAGAATGTGGAGTAAACATTATAGTTTATTACATAATTTAGGCTTGATGAATATTGATTATCAGGTATGGATGGATTTGTGGATCAGGTTGATTTTAAAATTTATAATAAAAAATTTAACAGCAATATTAATTAAATGATTGCATATCGAAATGGAATTTATTAGGGAACCTTGCAAAATGGGATTAAGGAAGGAATAGGAATATTTTGGTGGCCTACAGGATCTATTTATATTGGTGAATGGTACAAGGATATGATTCATGGAGAGGGGATTATATTGATCAATGACAATATCATAAGAGCTTAATTCAAGAATAACAAATTTCATGGTTTATGTGTTAATTATACGTATCCTATTCCACCCTATTGTTCTAGTTAGAGTGAATTTTATAGATTTGAATATGGATAATTGAATGGAAAATGTTTGAAGGGATAAACAGTTTCTCAATATCGCAGAGGAGACTTGATTCAAATCGATACAAATTTAGAATCTGTTGATGTTTTGTTAGGTATTATATGAGTATTCAAAAGTAGATGAATTCTAAAATAGGTTATTGGATTTAGAGGAAATCTTGGATAGGAATCAATGTACTTCAATAGGAATCACAGAGACATTCCTTGGGA